CCACAGCCCAGGGCGGGTGGGAACTCCGAAAGGCCTTCAGTGATGGCTGGCAAAGGGCTTTGAGGACACGGAGATTCGCAGTTCTGACCACAAAGTATCAGTGCCGGAAGGAGGAGGGAAGAACTGACAGGGGGATGGGAAGAGCCCAGTGTGTCAGGCCTGATAGAGAGCGAGCTCTGTGGGCTCTCCTGGGAGTGACGTGGCTCTAATAGAGGCGGTGGGAAGAGGGCGCCCCCCTTCCTGGCGGAAAGCAGGGTGTGGCAGAGCGCAGGCCCTGGCCTTGGTCTCCCCTCCAGAATCTGTCTGCCAGTGCAGGCCCGGTGGAAGCAGGCGCTCAAGAGCAGAGTAGTTGAAGCCCTGAATAGGAACAGCACTGGGAAGAGTTTGAGATTTCTCCCTGCCAGACCCCACCTATCTTCCAGGAGTCCTTCTTTGCAGTACTTACCACTTCCATAACTCCCCCAAAAGAGAACTGTCCAACTTAAGACCCCTTTTGGAAGTAAAGGGAGAGTGAAGTAAGTAAAAGAAACATTTCACATTATTTTTAATGGGAAGTCGCTTCTTCAGAATCTCCCCCAGAGGAGAAATTTCAACTTGGAAATGCGTTTTTAGGCAGGTGTGGTCTGTTTAGTTCGGTTTGACTGTAAGTCAGTTGTTATCTGCATGGCCTTGAATAACCAAAAATATAATTTTAATTATATTAACTTCAAGATAGGAAAATCAAATGTAATTATCCTACATTTGTTTTCAAAAAAACATTTTATGAAAGTGTATTATTTCTTCTTCTTCTTCTTTTTTTTTTTTAACCTTGGTTGGGTATTAACTTCTTTGGGCACTGGGCACCATGGCAAGCATTGTTATATATACAGTGTGTCCCCCCAAAATGTACACACACTTTAACAGCGGATAGCTCAATTTTGAAAATGAAATCTATTCTAATAAACACTGCCTTTGTAATTATTCAAAGTGTGTGTATACATTTTTGGGGACACCGATATTATTATCTCATATATTTCTCAAGAAAAAAAACTATAAAGTAGGGATTATTAATAACATCATTTAACAGGTACTTACCCTGAACCTTTTTCTCAGGTTGGGTGCCCAGCCTCCATCTAGCCCTGTAAGTCAGCCTAGTAGCTAGCCAGGCTGGCTCCTCACTCCATCTCAAACACAGCCCACTCCTGAGCCACCACACAAGACTGCTCCACTTTTCCAAACCCGAAAATTTCCAGGATAATTTTAGAACAGGAGGCAAAACTGCCTACACATGATAGGTACAATTGTACATTTATTACTACAGTGTAGTGTAGAGGTTAAGGGAATAGAGTGGAGAGCCAGACTGCCTGCTCACTCATTAGCTATATGACCTTGAGCATATTACTTCACATATCCAAGACTTAGAGTTCTCCATCTATAAAACAGGAATGATAATCATACCTATTCATGGGATTGTTGTATGTGAATGGCTTATATGTAAAGCATCTGGAATAATGCCTGCATGTGGCATATAAATATTGGCTCTTACTACTTTTAATATGAATATAATTTTAGCCCACATATGTTGTTGTCTTTAATTATATTTTGTTGCTACACACACTTTAATTTAGGTTGCAAAGGATGTATCTGTGAGACTTCACCATGAATTGGAAAATGTGGAAGAAAAGAGAACAACAACAGAAGATGAAAATGAGAAACTGAGGCAACAGCTTATAGAAGTTGAGATTGCAAAGCAAGCTTTACAGAATGAACTGGAAAAAATGAAGGAGGTTAGTATTCAATTATTTCATGCTGTGCTAATTATTTTTAGTTCTTTAGAAAAGAATTCCAAGGACTAATATGATTGTTAAAATATTTTTATTTTTTTCATGATTATAAGACAGTTTGTTGCCTTCACCCAATAAATAACAGAAAGATGAGTTTGTACTAATAAATGAGAATTTGACTTCAGCCCTTCCACTTACTTGATCTATATGAGCTGTGACTAATGTTCTAGCCTATGTCATCTAAATATATGTTAATGAAATAAATTACATTGCTATTCCAAACACAAAGGGTGTCAAGCATATGAAGGAATAAGCCTTGTGTTAGCAGAGGGGAAGAAATGGTTCTATAATATTACTACTAAGTTCGTAGAACCATGCACCTTTAGGATGAAAATTGCCATACAGTCCATTTAATCTAATATAATACAATCCAATCTATCTGACCTAATCATTGCTTGAATCCTTTTTATAACAGTCTCCAAATGGTCTAATGCTTAGAACATCAGCAGTGACTAACCCTTAAAAGATCTGCTGCAGCAGCTAATTCTATCACAGCATACCTATTTTTAAAGGTTTCCTTTGTTTGAGTTGAAATCTATTTAATTGGTAGAAGAGTCAGATTTCTCTTCCACATCAGCTATTTCAAGATTCCTTCCATGTGTCCCGAATCTTCTCAAAAAACTCAACATCAAAAGAAATAATTGAAAGAGAAAAAAACAAAACAGAACAGAAAAGGCCTATCAGTAATAAGTAACAACTTGAGTTAAAATAATATATATTTTTTAAAAGGGCCTCAGACATTCAGTATGATTTGTGAAAACTTGAGAATCACCAAATTACATAAGTGGTCTTCTAAACATTTTTCTGTGCTTAAATATGCAGATTTGAAATGAAAATCTTAATCTTTCCATGGACTAACTGAGATATGCAGTTTTCCCATTTGCTGTGCTTATCTCAAAATGGTATAAAAGTGTTTCTTCCATGTAACAGTGAAATTATTAATAGTCTGATTAAGAATATGTGCCAGAAATTGTAGAAAACTGTTTCAGTGGGGTAAACTCTTTTGTGATCTGAGTTTCTGCTTGTTCTTATACTATCCTGACTTCAAACATTCCTCACATGACATTTTAATGACCTGCAGTTCTTGGCTAATACCCAAGGTGGCTGTGTGCTACTGTAGAAAATCATGGAGACTGGGAGCCAGGTGACTATCCTTACTGGTAACTAACTGGGTGACTTCTGTTTATTCAGCTGTGAAATGTTGTTTTCTAGATTTCTCAACATCTCCTGTGGCTATCACAGATTTTATCATGAAATCCAGGACATTATAATTAAAGAGCAGCATAGATTTTTTTTTCTAAAGTTAAGAGATCAAATATGAAATGGAATAGATATATGTTTCTTCAACAGTAATGTACAGTTGAAATTTATAAAAATTGACAGTTTAATTTCCAGGGAAAGAATAAAGTAGGTAGTTGTATTCGTTTGGTAGGGCTGCTGTGATGAGGTATCACAAACTGGATGGCTTAAACAATAGAAATCTATTTTCTCAGAGTTCTGGAGGCGAGACATTCAAAATCAAGGGGGTGGTGACGCCTTCTGAGGGCTGTGAAGGAAGGATCTGTTTCAGACCTCTTCTTTTGGCTTGTAGATCACTGTCTCCCCTTTCAAATGGCATTCTCTCTATAGCTGCCTGTGTCTAAATTTCCCCTTCTTGTATAAGGACACCAATCATATTAGATTAGGGCCCACCCTAACGACCTCATTGTAGCTTGATTGCCTCTATAAAGAACCTGTCTCCAAACAAGGTCACAGTCTGAGGTACTTGGGGTTAGGACTTCAAAACATGAATTGTGAGGACACAGTTCAACCCAGAACACTAGCTATTAAATACCTTCTTATGGGCAAGCAAAGAGAAAGTTCACTGTTAGTTTCATTTTAGGCTCATTCCGTGGTATACCTCACTTGCCTTACCCCATATTTGTTTATACAATTAAAAACATTCAAGCCAAAACAAACTTCATTTGATTACCAAGGATAAAAGAGAAACACTTGGTGATTTGGTATCATGTGAATGCTTTTCAAGTGAATATCTAGAAAGTTGGCTTTCAGGATGGCATCAGAGCTTTCGGATTTTCATACTATGTCCAGGAAAGAGGAAAATGCCTATAAACTAGCTGTCTACTAGCTAGACAGGTGGAACCACTCCCATCTTAACATAAAAGCCAAAATAACCTGGCTACTGGGAAGAAGGGCTGGAACCTGGGAATGTCCACAGGAGAATCATTGTGATTCAGAATCAGCGTCCTTGATTCTGTTCCTCACACCCTTTCCAATGACTGTTTCCTCTTTCAGGGCTCTAACTCTGGATTAGGAACACACTCTTGTAGCACCAAATAGTGTAGGTATATATGTTCCTGCCAAAGGGGCAATTTGCTTTCTCCTTGGAGACATAAAAGCCAAATTCCAATCCCTGAGTAGAGACTACAACAGTAAAAGTGTAAGGAATTTTAAGAACAGGCGTGCACAGTGATGCTGCATGATTTTGTGCATTTAATATTTGAGTGAGCACTTATCTCCATGGAAGATGGATGTCATAAAACCAAATAAAGATGAGGACCCTTAAAGAAAAAAAAAACCCAGGTATGCAGCACATCAACTTTTAAAGGTAACTTTTTATTAAAAAGATGGGCTCTGAAATAGCATTTACAGTTAGAGAAGATGGTGGGGTGGCAGAAATAGAGAGGAAGGGCAAGAGAATGGAAAATAAAAATTTGAGGGATTCTAAATGTAATAAAGGGGAAATGAAAAATATTCTTGCAAGAAAGTTCCATAATAATTCATGTGGTGTTGACCTTTTTAATGTTCAGGAAAGTGTCAGAACTAGTAAAAGTAGTTTTAAAATATGTTTATTAATCAGAAATGTTTCATTTAAATAAGATTTTTGTAGTTGTAATTTTGTTGCCCTCCAAGAACATAAATATTAAAACTGAATTGTAGTAATAAGTGCCTCACTTTGTAGGGTAGGAGTGTGACTTGTCCCTATATGATTGTAACGACTTCATTTAACCATCTGCTTCCTTGGTTGTAAAAGGAAAACATATTCAAATCCTTGGTGAGCGTTAACCGGACGACTGTCATCCCTTTGTGGCATTCTACCAGTGGAGAAAATAGACCCAGGCCAAGCTTTCTATTATGAAGAGAAGATACTAGTTATGGAGTAAAATCATAAAATATTAAATAGAATATATTAGAGAGAAGCAATCCTCCAACTCCCAGATTTTAGTTTCTTATATGGAGTCATATAGATGTTGAATAGCACAACTGGGACCAACAGCCCATCTGTTGGAGTTGGAAACCATTTACTGAAGGTTTAACTGGCTTCAAGGGTGTTGACCAATTGCTCTCAGGGCTGGTGGCTTCCCAAAGTTCTGTGCAACTGCTCACATCCATCTGCTTATCTCGTCCCCCTGAGAGGATGGAGTAGGCTTCTGGGAGTAAGAAGAGTTGCATAGAGACAGGATGGAGGTAATTAAATATGTTTATTGCAGTTTGTTGCTTGTATTGAAATAGCCGGTAGTCTGCCAATCGCAAACAAGAGGGACCTCTTACGATGCTGCCTTAGAACCTTAATGGCATTCTCACTCCGATTATAAAACACTGGTGGCTACTAGCAGTGTGCTTTCTCGCTGTAGAAAAATGCCTTCACCTTTATGTAACCTGGGAAAAGTGATGGTCTATCTTTTAGCATCACACACAATCATAGTGACGTTATTTTATGGAAAGTACAACCAACGCTTTGAATTCGAGGACAGGTTAAGGCACAGATGGCATAAAGTGAGGCTCTGTGAAGGGTGAGTCTTTGCTTCATTTCATTGAGGGTCACTGCTCTTCATGAAGTCCCGCTGCTGTAGAAAGAATCTTTAATTTCAAAGCTTTGAAATTCCTCTACTCTTCAGGAAGGAGGGTCTTCTCATGCCACTTTTAAGGTCTGGTGCTTGGAGAAGCATTTTCAAAGCTTTGAAATTCCTCTACTCTTCAGGAAGGAGAGTCTTCTCATGCCACTTGGAGAAGCATCGAGTAAAAGCCATTTGAGCAAATAAATGGCCAACAGAGGACCTTCGAAAATGGAAAGAGAAAAAAGTAACTGAGGTGATGATGAGGATGGTTTATTAGATCTTTTACATTTCAGAATCTGTACTCTTTGTGTTGTCTCATCCTTCACTTTCACACGAGAGTCTTAAAAGAAAATGATTCTCTTAATTTTTCCTGGTCTTTGCTCTAGAGGGCTCTTAACTGGCCTACTATAATAGCACCATCTATCTTAGGATTTTTATTTTCTGTGTATTTGATTAATATAGCCTATCTATTACCAGGAACTTTAATTCTTGAACAAAAAAATAATTAATGCTATAAATTTCTGTCTCTGGGTCTTGTTCTTTTCATTTTTGGGTTTTGGTCTTTACTAAAGAAATTATATCTAGCTATATACTCAGATTCTCTTTGCAGACAGAAAACATTAATAAACAAGTATTTGCCCTGAATAATTATAATTACCTTTTTATTTTCTTATATAAAATAAAGAACTGATTGTAACTATATTTGGCTTTGGTAGGGCATGTAATAAAGAAAAAATGCTGAGTGATACATTAGCAAAGACCTACAATGCTTCTGGTTATTGCTGTTGCTCAGCATTCAAGGCCTGGTTTAGTGAAAAAAATCAGAACTAAAAACCCAGTGTGCTAGGCTGAGGACCGGTGGAGCTTTCTCAATAATTGGAGCCACACTTTTGGTGTAGCCTTAGCTCTTCACCCCTGGAAGCACAAAGGCCTCGTGGTAACCAAACAATTCAGCATCTTTTCCAGGAGTAAATAAACTAGAGTACTGAAGGATGGCACCTGGACATTCTGATTCAGGCAGAAAGTCTCCGAGGTGACTTTATATAGTTCTCTGGGGTGAAACTGTGTAGTCTCCGGGATGAAATCGGCCCCTGGGTGACTACC